TATATATATATATATATATATATATATATATAACTTTGCGCATCAAGTGAATACTATATATAGATTAAACGAAATGTACCAATACAAAGCCGCGAATGAATCCGTATAGCAAGCCAGATGTGCCTGCTGTGATCATCCGTACACACGCACAGACCCGAATGCATGCAAGCCTTGTCTACTGTATAAACATCGTCGAAGACACGTAGTAATTGTTTGGCTGCTATACAGCTGACCGTTTGGTGTGTGCGTATGTAGATAGTAGGAGCACTCCGAGGAGCTTCGTACTCTTGCTGCATCGAGCAGTAGGCATCTATGTACCCAGAGGAAACCCAGTACCTAGTCAAGGGATCCTCCTTTATATCACACGCTGATCTCATCCTAATTGGGTTATAAGGAAACCCAGTACCTAGTCAAGGGATCCTCCTTTATATCACACGCTGATCCCATCCTAATTGGGTTATAGTGTACATAGAGTGCACACTATTAAGTCGATCGAGATTTGAGGCTGAAGGATTTCTGTAGTTGACGGATTTGTTGCATCAGTGCCACTGCGATGACATGCTCAATCTAAAATCACACACTCGCACGCATTCTGATTCCCGTTCCACTAACTATCCCAGGACGACCAATACCGAGCGGAACAGAAAATAGAAGAACAGAAAGTGCATCACACCCGCACTCATTCCCATTCCCATTCCACTTACTGTATCCCAGGTGGACGAATACCGAGCGGAACAGAAAATAGAAGAACAGAAAGAGCATCAAACGGGCACCTTCTCCTCTACGCTGTCACGTGAGGTGCGTTTGCTACAGAGCCTGGAACACCCCAACATCATCCGACTGTATCAGGTGGTTGAGACTGAGTATGAGTACTACATCATCACCGAGTTTGCGCCGGGGGGCGAAATCATCGACTACATCGCCAAGAAGGAGCATTTGACCGAGAAGGAGGCCCGACGGTGAGTGTGCGCGTATCTGTATAGTATCTGTATAAGTCACACTCACACGCACACTCACACTCACACCCACACTCACACCCACACTCATAGTTACAGTCACACTCACACTCACAGTCACGGTCACGGTCACCGTTGGGTTCACGCACCTCACATGCACGCATGAACTTTGGCCGTACCGTTTCTGCCTAGCCGTTTGAGGGTTTTACGTTTTATTTCTCCCAAGCCATTCGCAACACTCTGTGTTGGGGAGTTTTACGGTTTATTTCTCCCAAGCCATTCGCAATACTCTGTGTTTGGGAGTTTTAGGGTTTATTTCTCCCAAGCCATTCGCAATACTCTGTGTTTGAGAGTTTTAGGGTGTATTTCTCCCGAGCCATTGGTTCTTTTTAGGAGGCTATGATATCAGAACATTCGCAATACTCTGTGTTTGGGAGTTTTAGGGTTTATTTCTCCCAAGCAATTTGGAATACTCTGTGTGTCGCGACTCGTGTACTTTTGCCCAGGTCATCTATCCACATGTCACGGTGACCGTGGAGGGTTGTCACCTATCACGTCATCCTATGTGCGTACCAAATCAGCGCTTATCGGCATCAAACGTTTTGCATGTATACTGTAACTCTGGCCGTACGAGCCATTCAGAGTGATGTATGGGTAACCACTAGACTGTTATGTGCTCATGTATCAACTAGACCGTTTGTGCTCAAATGCACCTGTTTGTATTTTTTGGGGCCGTGCAGGTTCTTCCGAGAACTGGTGTCGGCCATAGACCATTGCCACCTGTCCGGGGTTCTACATAGGGATTTGAAGGTACACATCGTTTGTGGAATGCGCAGGTTTGTGCGCGCAAGTCCGCTATGGGTTGGATGGTGAAATTGCAGTAACCTGACGTACATATATAGAGTATATGTATATAGTACAAATATAGTATCTCTATATAATACATATAGTATCTATATAATACATATATAGTATCTGTATATAGTACATATATAGTATCTATTATATAGTATCTGTATATAGTACATATATAGTATCGCTATATAATACATATATAGTATCTCTATATAGTACATATATAGTATCTCTATATAATACATATATAGTATCTGTATATTATCAAACCTGTATACATGCTTCCGTGTGGCTCCTGGCATCCGAGTATTTGACTGATACATACGGTAGCCTGTCTGTCTGTGTTTGTGAAAGAGATTGGTTCTATATGCATGTCCTTGAATTTGTTGTGACATACATCGTATTATATATATATGCAGGCATCAAATTGTATGCAGATTTGTGTGTGCCTTGTGAAATTGCCGTCCTCCCGCGATCCATGATTACTCCACATCTCTCCCTCTCTTGTTATTTCAATTGGAAAACACCCCTGTGTATTCCCCCCCCCCTCCCCCCCACCCACACACACACCCTCCGGACCTTTTTATATTATATTTGTGCTCCCTATATCTTATGCGATGTTTAAATAACATTGCTACTGTCCCCATACAACCCCTTTAGTTGGAGAACATTCTCTTATCGGCCGAGAAGCACGTGCTGGTCACGGATTTCGGACTAGGGCGTTCGTACCAAGCCGAAAATCTCTGTGGTACATTCTGCGGCACCCCCTTATATGCTGCACCTGAATTGGTATCTGGGACCAAATATTTTGGACCGCCTGCGGATATATGGGCCATGGGAGTGGTGCTATACGCCATGGTGGTGGGCAAACCCCCTTTCCAGGCGGATAATATGTCTGAGCTATATCGAAGGATAAAGGTGTGTTTGTGTGTTTGTGTATATGTGTGTTCTGTGTGCTTGTACATGCACTCGCTTGTATGGGTGCTCTGTTCACAAGGCCAATGGTAGTGAGTGGTGGTTGGCACCCCCTTTTTCCCGAACATTATTAGGTTGAGTTGTACCTGTACCGCAGGACGCAAATGAACTCTAACTAATCCCAATCACGATCACAATCCTAGTTCTAATCCTAATCCTAATTCTAATTCTAATCCTAATCATAATCATAATCCTAATCCCAACCCCAACCCCAACCCCAACCCCCTCCGCACTGCCAACCAGAATGTGGAGTTCAAATTCCCGGAGTGGTGCTCGCCAGAGTTCCGCGATGTGATTGGTCGGATCTTCACCAAGGACACGAACGAGCGTATCACCATGGATGAGCTACGCACACACACGTGGGTGGTGGGCGAATACGGCAACCCACCCCTGCGCCTACAGCCGGAGAAGGCCATAGTAGAGCTCAATTCCCGCGACGCCAAGGCATGTTATATGTAACTGTGTGTGTGTGTGTGTGTGTAGAGGTGTGTTCGTGTGTAGTGGTATGTGTGTGTAGAGGTATGTTTAAAGTGGTGTGTCCTAGTTCATGTACATATCAAATATGAGCACATGTCGCTATGATAGATGAGATACGATTGATGTATGTATGTATATATATATATATATATATATATATATATATATATATATATATATATATATATATATAGTAGAGTAGTAGTGTGTGTGTGTGTGT